ATTGGCGGTGCTATTTTACTAGGGGGCCTCTTTTATTAAGGAGATCCTTAATAAAAGAGGCTCGTGGGAGATACTGTGATCTTCAGTATCTCCCACGAAGAAGCATTTTAGCCTTCGCCAAAGGATCAATGTGGTTTTTTTAACCCCAGAATTTTTTTTATGCGGTCACAGAAGCGACCAACAGGTCTAGGTGAATCCTTTGGATTGCTGGCATAACCTGAGCTAACTCTTTGTCTGAAGAGGACGAATAGTGCCCAAAAAATTTAATCATTTTTTCTTTAATTATATTTTGTTAAAGTATTAATAAGTAAGATTAAATAAGTGAAAGTCTTATTTTAAGTTGAGTAACCTAACATATTGCATTTCTGCAAAATGAAACTTAGACGAACATTAAATATAAGGCATACATAAATATGTATTTATATAAATAAATATACACTATGTATTTATAAATATGTAATATCTACCAAACTCGAATGTTCATTGTAACATTATCCGTGTTGATAATGCGTGACTAAATCTCATTAATCACATTTTAGCAACCCAAAATACACAACATATATGTGAACCCCTTGCAAACTGATGTGGAGGTAAAAAACTAAAGAAAATCAAAAACAAAAACAAAACCAAAAAATAATTAATAATAACCATTACTTACATAAACAAACAGAAACTTCAATAAAACCCTAAAAGCCTTGTTAAAGCAAAAGGCAGCAACACCATTTTTATAGCGCATACTGCCGACATACACACATTAAACAAGCCGCAGTAGCTTAAGCAATTGCTAATGGGGGAAAATTTAACCAAACACACACAGAGAGAGAGGAAATGTTTTGTATGTTGCAAAGGCAACTCGTTAAAATGGGGTGGACAAGCATAACACTCGTTCGCGCTCTCTGCTGTGTAAACAAATTCAACACTGCTAGTGCCGGCCGGGCGCTGCCTACCATTTTTGCTTTCTTTTGTTTTGTTTTGTTTTGTTTTTGTTGCTTTCAGTTGCTATTTTCGTACACATATCTGTGGTTAGTTTGGCTACCGTTTGTGACGTACCGGTATATGCGAGTGTGTGACGTTCACTTATCTGCTCTTTTCTTATTGGCATTAATGTTTGTATCATGTATTTGTGTTGGTGATTATCTATGTGATTATTTTGAGTTAGTAGTTGTGAGTATATTTTTAATATTCTCTTCGCTTATTATGGTATCTCACAGGGAAATTGGGCGGTACTTATACGTAAAATTAGAGAGAATATTATCAATAGTATTGTTTTTAATATTAAAGCATAGAAATTAAATCTATTGCTTTGAACTGTTATAGATTTTTCTGAAAAAGTAGATATTTACTGAGATATTTTATTACCGAATATACATTGAGGCTAATTTATGTACAATCAAGAGTAACGAGATATACTGTAAAGCACTTTTGTACACAATCTATATTACATTTATTTATATACTTTTGGTCCGATACTGTAAGAATCTTATATGAGGGTTAGTTACTACGTACAAACTAATATTTCTCTAGATACCTATTCATAAAGGATTCAGCGGTACAAGAAGGATAGTGTTATAGTTGCCTTGATAGATCCTAAGTCTTATGACGGCATGGTGATATGTACTTAGAAACATCGAATTTACAATAAATTGTTTACAAAGGTATAAATGTTTATAAAAGTTGACACAGATTTCTCAGTCTATTTAGATCTAAACTCAGATCCATCATGGATTTCTCAAATATACATGATCTCGTTAACACCATTTTTCCAAAAAAAGTTATTAAAAGAAGCAGACATTAAGTATTGAGAAATACTTAATATATTATATTAATGTAATTTTAAACAATATTTCTAAAAAGGCTGAAATAAAAATGATCATGGCTTACCGCCTTTCAAGTGCCTGATGTTCTCCTAGAAAAAAGTTGAAATAAAGATCAAAATTTTTCGTAAATAAGATAGTTTTAAAATATTTTTAGAGGGTACAAAGTCTTTAACTGAAGGATTCTCTAGTTCTAAAAACAAATTTACACAAAAAATAAAACAGTTCTTCTGTTAAAGAACTGATTTCAACTAGAATTGAGGAGTTAATTATTCCATTTTTATAGTCTCCCATGCGAAAATTTAGGTATATATAAATGATCTATTAGATTACTTATATGTATATTATTTTTCCAACTAAATCAAACAGTACTTAAACCATGAAACATATACAAAGAATTACTTTTGCAATGTCATCATATAAAAAACATAATTTTAAGTGAGATCCAGGCAGATATGTGTTTCCTGAGAGACCGTTAAGGGATCTACATTTCTCCACTTTCTGCTATTTACACATAATAGGAGGAAAACACTCATAATATGCAAAATTTTTCATCGACCTGGCTTTTTATTATAAGACCAGGTCCAGGGAACTCATTGATAGAAACCGAGCTCATGCTGCTATGTCAGTTGCATTCATTGGTGTACACTTTACAGAATTACATTCGAAAAGACTGTGCCTTCCATTTAATACTTATTGTATAAGTTGCGAAAACTTGGACGTAGAAGATACAGTTTAACACCTTCTCTGTGAATACCCAGTCTTTTTTTAACAAAAGGAACAGATTTTTATGGAAATAATTTCTTGACAGTCTGTCAGACTACCATCGGTAAGAACAGACGATTACTAAAAGTACATAAACCCAACTGGAAGTGTATCTGCATGGATTTCTTGCGAGGAATATGGTATTAAGAAGGTAAAAATTTGCAAATTATGTAAGGTAATAGGATATCTGGCTATCAACCATTACAACCACGATCCAGACAAAAGATATTGATGTCATTATAATGTGTATCCTATTTGTACCGAATATCAGGGACGACTATTTAAAGCCACGCAAAACTAACAGCTTTAAAAAAATTTAATTGACTTTTTTTAGGACGTAGATACATAAATTTAAGATATTAAGAAAATATATATTATATTTAATGTTTAGATATATGTTACTTATTAATTTTGTTTATCAATAAATTCTGGACGTGCGTATAAAATCAACAACTTTTCTTTTCAATCCTATTCCTTAAAATTAGGGCTTTAATAGTATTTATCAATAGCTTCGACGACAAAAAGCAGCAGTATTTGTCCAAAGTCTTTTAAGTTTAATATTGTAAAATGAAATGAAATCAAATGAAATTGATGTGTGGAAAATTATTAATGTGAACTTTTGCGTCGCACACTTTAGTATTACAAGTCTAAAACTGGAACCTTAGAGCTCAACAAAAGTTATTATATGTTAAAATTAGTATGTGTCGAATATTTTAATTAAAATAATAAGCTTTCCTTCTAATGCATTCTGATTTTATATGATTTTAGAATAATTATTATTTTAGTCTATTTCGTATGTCTCACATTGGAGCATATTCGAAACTTTCTAATTATCTATGGCAGATAAAAATAATTTGGTTTAAAAACAGTTCAAGATATATTGTAGGCCAACTGAGTGCTCTAGCTGTTTTGAGCTAGTGCACTTAAGCACTTGTACTCTTTTTTAACTCGAGGTATTATCAAAACCCCTCTTTATACCTTAACTAGATTAATGTTTATTACTTCATCAGACTAAGCAATAATTGACCTCAGATCTGCATACCTCTCCGAGGAACCTGTAACCCTTCTGAGATTTGATAACGCTGTCAGTTTTCGCAAATAATTACAGGGCTCTATCCGATATGTATTTTTTGATGGGATCAATCTTGATGTCCTTGAGGATGTCATTCATTCTAATGTACCATGGAACTTTGAAAAGTCTTCTCAGAGCCTGGCTTTGTGCAATTTCTAGCTGGTGAATAGTTGTGTTTGAAGCTTTGTTAAACGCTATACAACCATATAGAAGTGACTTACGAATTATTTGGTTAAATATCAAATATTTATATATATGTACATATATATTAAGTGTAATGTCATTCAGTAGTAGTTATTAATGCAATGGAATTTAATTTAATTTTAAAAGCACCTTCCACCACAGCCTTTATATTGACTAGTTAGTTCCAGGCTCTTTGTCTTTATTCATTTGAAGACAACTTATGATATTTCATAAAATAATAGACATAGCCTCAAATTAAAAATTTGTGTTCATCATCATTTTGGCATCACAGTCCAGGATGGACCATTGCCTCCTCTACAAAACGTCTCCATTTTTCTATGCATTTCGATTTCTTTCTGTGTTGTGTTATTTTCATCGTTTGTATGTTGTCTTCTACATCTTGTAACCAACTACGTCGCGGTCGTCCTCTTTTCTACTCCCCTCTGGCACCTGGTTGAAGCAGAGTCAAAATAATTCCATGTTGCTAATTTAAAATCGTTGTCCTTTATACGTTACGTAGGTCGATATCTCAGGGGTGTTCTTCTCCGAGGCAGTATCGTTGAATTCGTGGCAATAAATTTTATAACTGATAAGAGGTCGCCAGCCTCAGATCAGGATCCTATGGAAAAATTTATATTAGAGTCCCTTTTTAACTTGAGTTACATTAACTAAAAAAATACAGAATCAATATTTAAGTCATTTTGTGAAAATCAAGAGGCAGTATTAAGTGATACTTCCCCTACTATGGTCAGTTTTAATCAGTATATTATAATTGAAATATGAAAATATATATATATAAATTCATATATTTGTATATAAATATATATACCACTATAAGTACTTATGGATGTATATGGAATTAAGCTCACACAAGAGTATCTGTACACACCACAAAAACAACTATGACGCAAAGAAATAAAGACTGCCGTCTCTGCCATTGCGAAATACGACAATGTAGTTGTGCTTGCTCTCATAGATACAAACCGGGTAGCACACACCACTACTGTGCTCTCTTTCAACCGCACAGCAAAGTGGCACAAAGGTGTAAACTACAAACAGTATGTGGAACAGAGATAGCTATATAATAGCAAAAGAATCTTGAGTTGGGCGAAACGCAAAGCAAAGATACTTTTCTTGCGGTGAGTTTGACATACGAAATCAGTCAACAATTTAGCTTTGCCGGCGCGTGTACGTTTTGGGGCTAGTTTGTTGTGAGTGCGAAGAGACGTTCGAAAGCAAAGATAATATTAAAAAATTTTAAAAACAAACAAATAATAAAAGAAAATAAAATTCAGTTAAAAGAAAGTGCAGGTTTTGAGTGTTAAAATAAAAAAAAAAAAAAATTATTATGATATATAATAAAAAAATTATTTAAATTAGTGAAAAATAAACAATTGCTGCTTTTAAGTCCTCAACCATTTTTGTTTTAACATTAAAAAGTTAAATATTTAATATAAAATCACTTGCAAATTTATTTTGTATTTAATTTTTCAAAAATCATAAACGCATTAAAAGGTTTTTATTAAATCTTAAACTCCCTCACATTGCAATGCTTGTGCCGTCGGATATGATAGCGGCACAGTCCAAAATGGTTTATCAGATGAATAAATATTGTGCGGATCGCGTGCAAACGCGTAAAGCACAGATACACAAACAAATACAAGAAGTTTGTCGTATTGTGCAGGATGTGCTAAAAGAAGTGGAAGTCCAAGAACCGCGTTTCATATCCTCGCTTAACGATTACAATGGCCGTTTCGAAGGTCTTGAAGTGATCTCGCCCACTGAATTCGAAATCATAATTTACCTTAATCAGATGGGCGTACTGAATTTCGTTGACGATGGCACATTACCTGGTTGTGCGGTGCTTAAATTAAGTGACGGTCGTAAACGTTCGATGTCGTTGTGGGTGGAATTTATAACCGCTTCGGGTTACCTGTCAGCGCGTAAAATACGTTCGCGTTTTCAGACTTTAGTTGCGCAAGCGTGTGATAAATGTGCCTATCGTGATATCGTTAAAATGATCGCAGACACAACGGAAGTTAAGTTGCGCATACGCGAACGTATTATTGTACAGATCACTCCCGCCTTTAAATGTGCCGGTCTATGGCCGCGTTCTGCATCGCATTGGCCGTTGCCTGGCATACCATGGCCGCATCCAAATATTGTTGCAGAGGTTAAGACTGAAGGTTTTGATATGCTATCGAAGGAGTGTATTGCATTGCAGGGTAAAAACTCAGCAATGGAAGGTGATGCGTGGGTGTTGAGTTTTACAGATGCCGAAAATCGTCTTTTACAAGGTATATATATGTAATCAACAATTTAAGTCTAATAAAAAAAATAATTTTGAAAATGGCAATTGCCGACGGTACTTGATATATTTATAATTTTGCTGAATTAAATACAATTTCATAGGATATATCTTTGAAAATCAGTTAAGAATTTACATTTAAACTAATTACTTCAATAGAATAGATTAATTTAATTTATTAAACGATAAAGGTAATAGTTATAACAATAAATTAATTATTGTAGATATGTATAGCATAACATAAGGTTATAGTTCTTTCAAATAGTAATTCAAGCCACATCAAGGTTACCATTGTTGAGTTCTATTAGTAGTTGACAGACACAAAATAAGATATATGCAACATATGATAAACAAAATTATTCTTTTAATATATATGTATCAATATATCAGATTGGTTAGTAGCTTGTTTTCTATAAGAGAATGAGTTAATTTGATTAAACCAATTTAGACAGAAAGTGTTAGATAGTTTCTTTCATTTCGCAACTCTGGTTAAAAGCGAATTAGTAAATTCCGATTGTTCTGACTGGTCTCCTAAAATTACTTAAACCTTTACCATCTCGATACTAGTTCAATCCAAGGACAAATGGGTCTCGATATTCAACCGATTAGTTCTTTGCATTAAAGAAATGAATCTAATTATTATAGATATATATATAGACATCTGTAAAAGAAACAAGTTAGCTGTTTTTAATTTACATTCGCTACGTCTCCCTTTTCAAGAAGACGAAGATACTAACCGATTTCTGTTTCTTTTAGTTCAAATTAGTTGAAAAAGAAACTCTTAAGACAAACTACTTGTATCTTTAGAGAAAGGTTTTCTAAAAAGAATTTAGCGCGGCTATTGAAAATTGGAATAGATATTTGAGTATATTTTGAAGTACTAGTGTATCACAAAACTTATGTTAACTAATTTAAAAGTATAGATTTAATATTTTTTTAGAAGCAGAAGAATGATTGAATATGATATGACACTAAATAGTCGTACAGCTCTAAATTTTAAATCTTAGACAGATTAAAAATCTTAAATCTTAAATACAGACAGTATAGCTTTTGTTAACAAGTGAATGGGTTTCGAAGAAGAAACGGCAGAAAAGTATATAATTTTTATGAACAACTAGTATGTTATCTTGAACATATCGATATTGGTCACCAATTATACAACCCATATTGCTTTAATTTTGTGAGCTTTTTAAACTTACTCTCATTATTTACTTCTAGTATAAAATAAAATATAGTATTTAATAATTTGTATATATCGTTCTAGGCCCTTAGCTAAGAATGTACTTCGGGACACGCTTTCAGATAATTCCCAAGATTTAAAAATATAATTTTTATCTTGTTAAATTATCATAATGCAATAACAATTAATATGCATATGCATAAATGCAATCATTCGATTCATTATAGGGAGGCCTTCAGTCCCTCAAACCCCTATTCCATTTCTCAACACTACTACGTGTCCATTTTCGCTAAAAACATATTATTTAATATTAATACATCTTCAACTCTATAAACTACAAGATAATTGCAGAGATGCATAGATTAATATTGATTTATTTCGTTTATATTTTCAACAAAATACTTATATTTCCGTTATGCAAATCACATATTACTAAGCAAAACATCAACCACAGTCAACCTTATCATAAATATTTTTAATCGGTCCCTAGTGCTAAGAATTGATAGATGTCATAAGTTTATAACATTATGTTGAAGACGTGCGATCTTGCGAGTAATACCTACCATTTAATAAGAGCGTTCTTTTCTTCTTCTTAAATCGATAAAAACATTATAGAAATGAGCGTTATAGTTGAAATCATTCCAGTTTAAGATAGATCATGACCGTAACGTTTTTTGGATATTTAATAGTTCGAATTTGAGTCATATCTCATTCATAAAGATCGTTACTGCTCTATAAAGAACAAAATGATATAGTTCTTGATGACATTAATTTCAGTTCAAGAAAGACCTGGAACGTTATCTTTTTCTAAAATATATTCGTTTGGGTTTGGAATGTGTTTTGAATATGTTGATTTTCATGAAACGCAACATTACTGATAACAAAAAATCGGAGAAGAAGTATTATATATGTACAAAGAACTGCCAACTCTAAATCTAACATAAATAAATATTATGCTAGCAAAGCTGGACTATTCATATAAATAAAAATAGGGTGTGCTGTCAATGCTATTTTCGTTTGAATATACATATGTATGGATATACAAATGTTGCCTAGAAAAGTGATAGCCTATAGATCTTACAATAAATAAGGTATAGCGAAAAAGTTTCATGCTAAGATTCTATATCGTTAAAGTTTTTTTTAAAATAGATGTATTTAAATCTAATTTAATTGGATTAAATATTTTTATAAGATATTCATGAGTAAAGTTCTTTTTACTGATATTAAAATAACTTTTTATATATTTAAGAACTGGATTTTTAACTTGATCATCCATATAAAGTCCAAACTACACAAAAATTGTGTAAAATAAGAATAAGTTTCTTTAGGTAACATAGCATAAAATATTTTTAATGATAAAGCATTATGCTCTATTAAGTTTTCAAATATACTCAGTTGCAAATGAAGTAAATTATCTATAAAAAAACTAAATACTGTGATTTGGTATATTACACTTTGTAATATTCACAGAACGAGTTACCATCAACAAACTACTTAATGAGTTGTTTATTGACTAGTTTAAAAGTAATACAGAAGTTAATTAGTAAACATGCATTTGACCAGTTTTAATTTTTATATCATTTGCAGTTATTTCAATATATATTTTTTGCATATACTTAAGCACTATCATCATTAAAAATTATGCGACACGAAAAGAAATAATTTTTTCGTAGTGTTTTGTAATCATTTTTATAACTAGTATGACTCAGGACGTCACTGTATACGTATTGTGAGGCATACCTTTGATGTGATATATAGTGATATTTATGGTAAACATACAAGTTACTAGGGGACAAAATTATATTTAACTTATCGCTTATAGAACAAAAACAGAAATTCCAAAAATTATTATATCTCTGATCTCAAGAATTTTAAAGTATTATTTTAAAGTATAAACGAACTTAAAGTATTTATCAATAAATATTTTAAACTAACAAACTATAAATGCAGTTTAATAAAATTTGTATGAACATTATATTGTTTATTTGTGAGAAATTAATAATACTTATTATCAAATTAATAAATCTATTTGGGCTCTTTTTCGTGCATTCTATATTCATAATAGAGCAAAAGAGCTTACTATTCGTAATATAATTGAAACTTTAAGGTTAAAAATAGTAATAATGTTAACAACTCAACTCGACCAAAATGTAAACACTGCAAAAAATAACGGCGTTTGTAAATTAAAATGTGGATTAAAATGGAAAACAATCAATCAGACGTAGTTCTGAAGAACTTTGGCTTGCTTATGATATCCCATGGAGTATACTTCATAATATATTGTAGCGTAAGGTGTACATAATGTAGTCAACTTAAGAACTAATAATTATATGAAATCCTGATTTGAACACTCAATTAAAAATTCATTTCATATAATGATATGTGCGATCAATACGTCTCTACTGGAAGTTTTTGAAGTATTGATTTATAGAAGAATTTCAAATTTTCTGTTACTATAGTCTATACTTCCCTATTTCTCAACTCTATTCTACTCAACTGCTAACTTTCAATAAATTGAAAAACAGCCATTTACAAAGATACCATCGTTGCCAACTCAAAGAAAATTGACACGTTCTAAAACGGCTCCTTTGCAGTCTGCCAGCTTTTTACTATGGTGCCATTTAAACCTCTGAGCGATCGCTTGAGTCGTTAGTATTCATTATTATAATTATTTATTATTTTTTTATTATTTATTTTTGAGCTAGTTTCATAAATGTTAGATGTTAGCAGATAATATTACTAGATAATATCTAGATATATAGTTATCAAAATATATACATATTGCTAAATATTGGCATAAAAGCTTCACTGATTCCCTTGTGTTCAGTATTTCATATTTTCTGAATATATCCAAAGTTTAGATTAAAAAGCACCGATACCCGTAGATACTGTAAAATGCAGGAAAAACTTCCATCCATCTCAGGTACTCGTGCAGGTAATGAAATTAGTATTTTCTTATGGCTTTTATTGAACTAAATAAGGTCTGTCAACTTGATTCAAAAAAAAAAACTGTTAGGTTTGTTTAATAGCCTTAACTTGCCCGGTTTAACTCAAGACACTCTTTTAAGAAATAATATATTAGATATTATAGGTCATACCATTGTTACTACTAATAATAATAATTTTACAAATACATGATTACTGATATCTGAGATATAAATTAAGTGATTTTTGTTTTGAATTGAAATTAAGAAAATTAATTAATTAAGAGAAAATTTAAAAATATATAACATATATCATTCTCGATTACACTTTGGTACTTCACCGGTCTTGTTAAAAAGACAAAACTGAATAATTATTTTACTGTAATTATTATTTAAAACTTATAACAGATAAAATTAAAAAAAAAATTTTTAATTTTAAATATTAACAATTTTCAACGCAGGAAATCACGCAAACTTCTTAGTACTTAAATGAACTAATATTTTTATTTATTCCTGTGTGAATTGTGGAATCCCAATCAGCTTCTAGTATTTTTATTTTTAATTTAGATTATTTAAAAACGGCTATGACTTCAACGTATT